TTATTAATATAAATATATCAATATGAAATTCCAATCTTTTTCCTTTATAACCATTTCTGTTTATCTCCGTTAAAAATTTTAGTCATCAAATTGATCTAACGCTGTATAAACTTCACTGATTTTGGGTTTTAATAATGAATTGTTGGATCATTCTTCTGATTCAAATAATGATAACTCAAAAATATTGTATCAATAAAAATTTTATGATATCTAATGTTCATTTAAAAATTGTTACTTTAAACAAGAATAAAAACTGGTGGAAAATTGTTATATTCCTCCATCACGATTGTATTTTAGAGTTTTAATTTTGTTTTAATGCAACTATTACTTTGTATTAGAAGATTGAAAAAATTAATTTACAAATCCTTCTAGTTTTCATCAATTTTGAATTAGGTTCCTGTAATTTGTTTTCTTTTAATCAAGCCTTGTAGTTTTATCAATTAAATATATTAGTCCCTAAAGATTAAATTTATTAATAAATTATTAACTTTTCCAAAATAAAAACACTTTTAATATTTATAAAAAATGATTTAATACTTTTAATAAAAAATAAAATTTGACTTAATACAATGGTTACATTTTTATTATTTTTTTATAAAAAATTATTTAGAAAACATAATCTAATCATATAAGTTTTGAGCTGTCTAAAGTAATCATAAGGGCTAAAGTAGTTATATAAATTTTGTGTTATAATCAAACTATAGGACTTAAATAAAATAAAATAAAATAAATTACAGGATCTAATTTAAATTTGGAAAAAATAGAAAGACTTGCAAATTAATTTTTCATAAAATATTTTAATATAGCATTTATTTTTTCTTACAATTTTACCTTGCTAATTCTCAACTTTTTCGCATACAGAATGTTATGTATGTATGTGACATAACTAGACGATTCACACAAAAATATTTTGATTAAAAATGATTATTATTTTTTAATTCAATAAAGGCTATGAAGAGAATACAGAACAACAATAAATTTTCTTACATAAATAATAGAAATCAGTATCACAAGAAGGAAATGTTCTTGAACATTCCACGGTCCCCACAAATTATATAAAACTGAACCACCAACTTTTTTTTTCAGTAAAAAAAAAAAAAAGATTGAACAACCAATTGAAGGAGGCCATCAGTCGATAAGGTCTATCACAAAATTATCATGTTCATGTCCTTTTCTGATGCCTACATCTCTATTTTTTATTCTAAATGTAAATCATTATCATTTTTGCTTTGCCGTCTGATTCAAAAAGTAATAAAGGAACAATCATGAATAGGTCGAAACTTATTTATAAGTAAGTGTACCCAAATTCTTTGAAACATTAAATGAAATTTGTGGTTGAGGTGAAAAAAAATAATACTAACCTTATTAATTTGATTTTTACTTAAGATGGTAGTTTCAAAATTTACAGGTAGAGGTTTGTAATTCACTGTCAAATTTTTTATTTAATGCTTGATATAATCAAAAATTTTTATAAAATTAATTATCACTATTTAATGCTATAATTGACCTAATGAGATGTAAGGAAAGTAATAGAGTTCATTTAGGATTTATATATTTAGCTTGTGAGTTGTTTAAAATTAAACTTAATTAATAAAGCTCTTGATATTTAATTTTGGAAAAATATAGCTTTTGGTGTTTGTATTTTACTCTTATTTTGCTTTTAATTTTTGTATTTTTTTTTAGTGTTTTAAGTCCTTACATTTTTATTTTTTTATTATTTTTGATCTCTCTATAAACAAAGTTTAGAGACCTTATAAAAATAAAAAATAATAAAAATAAAAGTGTTAGAATCTAAAAAACCGAAAAAAAGTACAAGACTAAAATCAAAAGCTATGCTTTCCCTTTAATTTTTTCTTTTTACAACAGTAATTTCACAATTTACAATAAAAAAACTCATATTTTATAAGTACAATTTTTTGTTTAATTCTTGATTTATTGTGGAATTTCTATGGAGTTAATTATGCTTACTTAAAATTATAATTGGTCTAATTAGAATGTAATTATAGCCTTAATTTGCTCTATAGTAATACCGTAAAATACTCAAGGCTGAAATTCTTAATTTACACTATAATTATAGCTTTAAGTAAGCATAATTAATTTCATAAAGACTTCATGTTATATTACGTGTTAAACAACAAATTTAATTTGTGAATTATGGATTTTTACTCATAAGTAAAGATGAATTTACGTTGAAGAGAAGGGGAGCAACTGACTCTACTAACATCATTAGCACCTCTTAATTATAAGGTGGGAGAAATTATCACTTGCCCCTTTCAAAAATTACCACTTGTTGTTATTGCTCGAGCATCATTTAAGTTTTTTTTTAATTCAATCTGTACTCCTAAAATTTTCTTAGTTATTCAATCAATGAAATTAATGTTATTTATATTGTTAACTTTTAGGTGATAGATTGGTTCATATAAGAATTTATCTTGTTCATATTATTTATATAAATATATAAGATTAGGCTAAAATTTATAAAATTTTCTTAAACTTTAATATAGTTATATGTGTCACTTCCCTCCTTTAAACTTTTAAAATTAACCTCTTTATTTTTTTAAAAAAACCCTATGCTGTTAATAACTTTATTATTTTATTAACAAAATTTTCTACATCAGATTAATGAGATATACATATGGCACCTAACGTTGAAAAATATTTAATTTTTTTAATACAACTCAAGAAAGAATCATATCAATAAAAATTTATCCTTTGTTTGAAATGAGACTGGTATGCACCCATAATAATAGAAAAATATAGATAAATTTTTTATAAAATTATTATTAACTTATATAAGATGTTACATAAGGTGCTATATATCTTTTCTTAATATGAATGACAACTTTTGTTGACAAAATAGCTAAGAAATATTAGTAGGGAGTCTGTGATTAAAAAAAGATTATGGTAGTTAATTTTTAAATTTTTAAAGGTAAAAGGAGTTTTACTATCTCAAAATTTAAAAAAAAATTTATATATTTTATCCAAATAAAATTATAATAAAATATTTTTTCAACTTCTCAACATAAATATTAATTTTTATTTTGTAAACAATAATAATGTCAAGTTATTTAATTTTTTATATTGAAAATATTTATTTAAAAGAGTATGATTATTTTCATAAAAAAAAATTATTAGCACATGTTATTAATATATACTACTTATTCAATCATTTTCAGCACAAATTTTTATTTATATTAAGATAATTTTTTTAATTTATTATAATTTTATATTTTTTTACTGTTTCTTATGTATTTAATTTTAATGAATTTATTTTTATTATTTAAATAAATATTTATAATTATATTTAAAAAATATTAATATTTATTTATATATGTTTTTCCCCCAACAACAAAATTTGCTAGATCCGTCATTGCTTGTAAATTGTAACATTATTGTAAGTGAAAGCTAAATTAATAAAGATAGTATTATCTTTATACTTTAATATTAAATTATACTCGGGTTTCAATATATTTGGTTATAGTTTTTGAATTTAATGTGACTTGTAGGTACATAAATTTTCTGTATGGGAATTATTCATAATTTTTTCAATAATAAAAGGCAAAAACACAATTGATTCTGCAAAATATTTTATTAGATTTTTTTCCCACTCTCATTCCCTTCACCTAAAATTATATAAAAACTATTTTATTATTGCTGAAAGTGTTGCGGTTTTAATTTATTAATAATATGATATCCATTTTATTGAAAAAACATCAAACATGAAAATAAAAATAAATAAATATCTTGGGCATATCTGGGTGTCTGACCACATAATTGGAAACACTAACCCAAAATCCTGTTCAACCTGAACTCTGGGCTAGCCCCAGTATGTCCAAACGATTTTAGGCAACATTTTTCCTTCTTTGAGCCGGACGAAAGGCTTTCAAGCCGAGCCGAATTAGTCGAGCATTCGAGCCACGTGTTTCGACATGAGAGAGTATGATTATCAAGGCACAGGAGAGACCCCGACCCAACAATCATTAAAAAAAAAAATTTCAACGTTCAAGATTCAATCATTCACCATTATTACTTCTACGTGATGATTTTGTTTAAATTTTTTTCTGCTTTTAAATATTCCGGTTTTAGTGGATCCACCGTTCACTGATAAGCAACTAATCATCATTTGTATATAACAATTGCTGTTTTTGTTTTATTCAACCACGAAACTTAAAGGCATCACAGATTTTAATAATACTCCCTTAATTTAAAAATAAATAATATTTTTAATCAAATCTCACCCTTAATAAAATAATTACCTACTTTTAAATTAATCTTATCTTTTTATATTTACTCATATTAAATATCATATGCTAAATATAAAGTTATTATCAATAGGAGCAGTTTTAGAAAAAAGGCAATAATTATATCTTAAAAAACTAAAAATGTCTTGCATTTTTTAATATTCAACTCTTCAAAAAATATTTTATATTTTTAAATAGAAAGAGTATAACCTAACATCCCCATGTCAGATCATAGTGAAGTCCTCAGTTTTAATTTAAATCTGTGAATTTTTTAATTTAGAGAAAACATAATTTTTAATTTTTATAATTTTATCAGGTTTTATTTTTAGTTAGTTTTTTCAGTGTTTTTAATTCTTATAGTTTCAAAAAAAATTGGATGAGTTTTATTTTTTAAATCTCTATAATTTCTATTTTTCAATGATTTTAGTTTTTATGAGAATTAAAAATTTAAAAAATTATAATGATTAAAAATAAATGCTGATGAATTATTGGCAGTAAAGATTATATTTTTTTTCATGATTTAAAAAGCTAAGCTTAATAATTAGATTAACGTCTATTAAAAATGCGATATGCGCGTCTTGTACACAGTACACAAGCAATCACAATTCACAAACTCATTTCATTCTGTTCTTATCACTTATCAGCGCATAAAATATCCGACAAATTAAGAATTGAATATTATATATAGGATTGAGGACGGTGATGAGGACCCACTTGCTCCGTGAACGAGTGAAATATTATATATATTTTACATACCCTTTCGAGTTTCTTGTGGATGAGGGTGCTTATAACTAACACGCGAATTCAGGCGGGGGATCTCTCATTTTTTCCATTTTCATTTCCATCGTCTTTCGTTTATATTTGCAAATCGCAACTCTGCCGAGCAACAGAGGATCGTCTTGCCAAAGTGGTTTGTTTAACACGAGGCTCGTGCAAATTGAAGAAAAAGATTCCCCAAATCTCGTATCTGGAAGGAGGAGATTCTTGTTGCCATTTCAATCACTGTTTGTTTGAGTTTTCTGGGTTTTCAACGTCATGGGGGAAGATCAAAAGGCCCCTTTGTTACAATCTCATCATCATCATCATCCTACCAAACGAACTGGTTTGTCATATTCAACTTAGTCTTTTTCATTTTCTTTTTTCTTTTTTTGGTCAAATTCATATTGAGATGTCAGGAGCAGACATAATCGCCGTAGTGTGTGAGAATCATCTGATCGACTGAGATTTGAATGTGTTGTTTTGTGAATAGGGACGGTATGGACGGCGGTGGCTCACGTAGTGACAGGGGTGATTGGTTCGGGAGTACTATCGCTGGCTTGGAGCATGGCGCAGCTTGGATGGATTGGAGGGCCATTGGCGATGATTCTATTTGCTTCCGTCACTCTGCTCTCTTCTCTCCTTCTCTGCAACACATACCGTTCTCCAGATCCTGAATATGGCCCTCACAGGCATCCCTCTTACCTTCAAGCTGTTAATTTGCATTTAGGTAATTTACTTCTTCTTCTTCTTGTTTTTTCCCCCCATTCATCATCAGTGATGATCGTTTCCTTTCATTTCATAAATTTTCTAGTTTCTGTCAGAGAAATGCTTATAAGAATTTTGAACTGGAAGTTATTACAAGGAGTTAGTTGGTTAGTTCTTTGGTCGTCTTGACGAAAGAATTTGTATTCACACGTCCAGCTGCTAAATGAGTTTAACAGTTTAGGAACCAAATTATGAATGTTTGTGGACTAAAATCCTCGCCACGGCAGATTTCCATTATCTCTTTAAATCGGGGTTTTCTCCCCGTTCTCCATTGGGTTTATTTATTTCAAACTCGGTTTGCTCATCTTTTATGAACTTGAATTTTCTCTTTTTTTTTTTCTTTTTCACTCTTTCGGGAGGGTTTGCAAGAAAGATTTTTCCCCCCTTTAATACTTGCAATTTTCTTTTCTTTTTCCCCAAATTCTGGCATATTTTCCCTTAATTCTGCTGCTTGTGTCTGTTTCTTAAACCATTCTTTTCTTCTATAAATGGCCAATGATCCAAAAATCAAGTTATCGTAATGAAAATCGTTCACTGCAGCATAGCACGGCATGCTCTTACGCTGAGGAATGAGAATTAAATGAAGCTCTGAGGTCAACTGAATAACTTTGTAGAGTTGGGATGGGAATGGGTGACAGTTATCTGGGGATTTGTCCGAATAGCTGGTTTGAATTGGGCTAAGGATGAAGACGGGAAGAAAAGAAAGCTGCCTGTTTGATATATTCTGTTGCATTGCGTTATATATGATATATCCAACCTTTTGAATTATGTCACGCAAACCATATCCACCTAACCTTTTCCATTCAGCCACTTGGGTTTCCTTATCCATAAATGACTTGTCGATCTAGCCATTTCTATCAACACGTTGACTTGTAAATATTTATTCTCATTACCAGCTACGTAAGTAACAAAAATTGTCTTCTTTCATAGGAGAACATGTGCGTTCACTTGTCGTATTTAATTTAAAGCTGTCATAGTCTCACCTAAACCTTTGCTGTGTGAATGAACAAAATAGTCGCTCTAATGCTCTATATAGTATTTTTATTGAAACATTATAAGTTTATTATGCATTTAGAAATTGGAACATCATGTATGTTTCTAATTGGTAAGACTGCTACTATATGACTCATTGGGTGGTTGCAGGAGCAAAGAAGGGGCGGTTATGTGGCTTTTTGGTTCAATTAAGCTTATACGGGTTTGGAGTGGCCTACATTGTTACAGCAGCTATTAGTATAAGGTGTGATAGACTACTTTTAGTGGTTCCGCTTTTATGTAATTTTACTTCTTTGCTTTCCTTTCCCTTTTCTATTTATTTATGGATTTATGGGTGCTACTTGACTACTTGTTCCAAGGGAGAATGACAACTAAGGATATCATGAGAAGGGTAATACCAAATCAGGATTTTTTAAAGATTTACAATGCTAAAATATAGGATGATGAGTACTGAATTTGGGAACTTAAGTTGTGATGAGATCTTGATTTGGTATTAACTATTTTATGAGGTCTTTAATTGTCATTCTCCCTTGTTCCAACTTTGCATTTTGATGCGAGGTTCTTGGAATATCAGGGATTGGAAAAGATAGGCAAACCAAACCAAAAGACAAGTAAACATTTTAGACGTGGATCTTATTGAAAAATGGGCCTGGGATGCGTAAATGTCTATCTGTAATTAACTAATCTATCTATACTTTGTCGTATGTATCAAACTAAGAAAGTTTATCTTTCCTCAAATTTACGTTCTCTCCATGGGAAACGTGGTTTTTCTCCTAGAATCTTAGTTTACCTTTGCTGATAGATACTTTGGATTACCCTTTGTTTTTGTGTCTGCAGGGCAATTTTAAAATCAAACTGTTACCACTATGACGGACAAGGAGCAGCATGTAGTTTTGGAGATGCATATTATATGCTGATTTTTGGGATTATCCAAATTGTTCTGTCACAAATACCCAATTTCCATAACATTGAATGGTTATCAATTGTTGCTGCAGTTATGTCATTTACTTATGCTTTCATTGGAATGGCTCTTGCTGTTGCACAAATCATAGGTATGCTCACCAATACCTTGACATCTGCGTGGAATCTTAACCCAGAATAGTCAAATTAGTATAGGCTCTATCTATAAACCAAAGACACTTCTTGAGAAAAGAGTGGTGCTGGTATGCAACAAAGAAAAGTTCATCATAGAATTTGCAAATACTTTCCAAATGTTGTCTGTCAGTGCTTCTGATGGCTTAAGACGTGTATAATTCAATGGTCATGACGCACAGGAAATGGATTCATAAAGGGTAGCGCAGGAGGTGTCAGTACTCATAGTATGGCTGAAAAAGTATGGCTGGTTGCTCAAGCACTCGGTGACATAGCGTTTTCCTACCCATTCTCTGTAATTCTTATAGAAATACAGGTATCTATTACATGCACAATGACTTTAAATAGCTGGAATGTAATTTTTCAACTGCCTTGCAAGAAAAAATGTAACATTTATTAAGGCGAACTTAAGCTTTTGCTTATTGTGATGCTTGAAGGATACTTTGAAGTCACCTCCACCAGAAAATCAAACCATGAAGAAGGCCTCAACAATATCAGTAATTATCACAACATTTTTCTACCTGTGTTGCGGATGTTCTGGATATGCAGCCTTTGGTAGTGACGCACCAGGAAACCTTCTAACAGGATTTGGATTTTATGAGCCTTACTGGCTTGTTGACTTAGCTAATGCTTGTATAGTGGTTCACCTCGTTGGTGCATATCAGGTACATATGATAACAGGGATTTGTCATCTTCAAATTCTATTATATGCTAGTGGCCTTATAGCCTAGTGGCGTGTAAGCTCCCCCATAAGTGAGAGGTTTTCGGGTTCAGTCTCACTTGTAATCTTAAGCTGTCAAAGCCTGCCCCTCTAATTAAAAAAGAAGAAGAAGAAGAAGAAGAAGAAGAAGCTGATATCTAATTTCCCTGTATTAACGTTAGTTGTCATTGATGAGAACTTTTCCTGCATAGTGGCGTCATGAAACCATTAGCCACGAAGTTTTCTTGTACTGCTTGAAGGGAAATGAATCCATATTACTCATTGGGTTCATATATCTTTTTAGGCTGAGTTTATCTTATAAGATTTTTACTAAATATAGAATGCAATTTCGTTGATGTATTTCAGGTGTACAGCCAGGCACTATTTGCAAATTTTGAAGATTGGTTCCGATACAGGTACCCGGAAAGTGCATTTGTGAACCAAACATATACCTTGAAACTCCCATTTCTTCCGCCTTTTGGGCTAAATCTTCTGAGGTTGTCTTTCCGTACTGCTTATGTTGCATCATCAACTTTGATTGCAATGATCTTTCCCTACTTCAATCAGATTTTGGGAGTTTTGGGAGGCATAATATTCTGGCCACTAACCATATATTTCCCAGTGGAAATGTACTTGAGTCAGTACGATATTGAAGCATGGACAACCAAGTGGGTCTTGCTACGGATTTTTAGCATCTCTGGCTTTGTGGTGGGATCATTCACTCTTGTTGGTTCCATCGAAGGAGTAATATCTGCAAAACTAAGCTAAGGAGCTTACAGGTCTCTCCAATTGTGTGGTGCTGCCCCCCTTATCTATATTAGATTAGATACAGAGTATTGTGCGTGTGATATGGATGAAATTAGACGATTTAGGCAAGAGTCAATAAGGCATTTCATGTTTGTAAATGGTAGAGGACTTGTTATAGTTTTATGTAGACAGTAATTGCAGTTATGTCCATGATGAAACCAAGCATTTGATGTCCAAGTCTTCCAGGATTGCGGCTTTAAGATGGGTTATTGCAGAAGCTCTTTAGATTGGTTTTTGCTATCTTTGAAGTTTAAAGCTTCACTTTCTTGTGGCCAACTAAATTCAATGCAATCCCAAAAGAAGTGCTTGTGGGTGGTGATCTCCTATACTTGAGGTTTTAGCAATTGATCCCGACTCAGTCACACCCTGAGGAAGAAAGTGTTGAGGTAATTAAGAGCCTGATTGTTTTTTGCTTTTAAAAATTGTTTTTTTTATTTTTTGAAAACAGAAAAATTTTAAAAACTTGTTTGGAGAGGTGTTTTTCATTTAATTATTTTCAAAATTGTTTTCATTTTTTTTAAAAAAGAAACAACTTTAAGTTGTTTTTATTTTTTTATTTTTAAAATACATTACATTTGATTATTAAAAATTATAGTTACCTTGATCAATTTCTATTATTGATAACCACTATCAACTGCATGTATTTATCACTTTTAGTCTATATTTTTATTTTAAAACTGTTTTTTAATTGACATGATCAAATGATTCTCATTTTATTTTACAGTTTTTAAAAACAATAAATGAGAATAGAAACAAAACAGGCTTAACAGTAGTAATGCAAATTTTTCAAACATTATAGAATCTAATTTTTAGTGCTTATGGGAGAGGACTCGCAGCAGATTAATCATTAATATCACTATATTCTTGGAAGTTGTATCGGTTCTATTGGTAATGATACAATTTATATCTTGATATAAAGAGGTAGGTTCAAATTTCATTATCAATATGAACTTCTGTAAATGCCACTTTTAAGTTCTTGAGGCACTCATTGAACCATGGGGCTTGCTTTAACCTTAATAAACTTAGTGCCTCTTTGATTCATTGAATAAAAAGGAATGTAATAGTAAGGGTTGGAATGGAATAATAATTGGCATGAATTTGTTTAGTATGATATTAGGTAGGAAAAATTGCTATCAGGTCTGAAATAAAAAATTTAATTATTTCTTCAATCTATTTACAAGTTAAACTTTTATATTTGCTTGTTAAGTTTCAATGTGTAAAAGTAGATGAGACTTGTAGATAATTAATTTTCTTATATAGGATCTTGATGTAATTCTTCCTATTAGGAATGGTAAAAATAAATATATATTTTTATATTTAATTTAATAATAATAATATAGGTGAGAATAAATACTAAAATCTTATTCCATTCCTCTCATCATCTCATCTACTTCTTCCTTCTTGTCACCCATGCTTTCCTTCCTCTTCACTATCATCTCAACACCATAAACATTGTTCTCCTACGTTTTCTTCCCTTCCTCTCCATGCAAAGATGTGGGTTTACCATTGCAGATCTTAGCTTAGCTTCTCCATCCTCCCTGTAAATAGGTTCAACATTGCAAATTTGAGCTCATCACTGACTAAAACAAAATATGAAGAGTATATTTACATGAAAAGATTATATCAATTTGTTCAGTTTAATTTTTCAAAGGGAAAAGATTATCAATCTAATTATGTTATCAAAATTTTAGTCATAGTGTAATGTAATTATTAATTTTCTTAAAAAATATTAATTTTAGATTAAATTATCTTGTATCCCTGGTTTGGGATCCCAGCTTCGCCACTAGTCTTGGACGTTTGGTAAGGGATGATGATAATGAAAGGCACCATTAGTCCATTACTCTAGCAGCAATGATGGATGGTGAGGGTTGTGGTTGTGGATTTTGATGAAGGTGGATGCTTTTCAGTAATAAGTTGACGGGAGATGTGGACGATAAACAAAGGGCATGAGGTAATACCAATTACATTGGTTTAATGATGTAATCCTAATTACCAGATATAAGGTAATCATAGATACTTCATGCAATGGTCATTACCTAGCTTTTGCCCAACCAAACAATATGAATGAGAAAAATGCATCAGAATTACCTATAATTCTAATGCAAGGAATTGAACCAAAAGAGTAGGATCCAATTTCCCTTAGCTTCTTGTTGCCAATTGGCTTAGCTTGTGTATAGTAATCGTATTTGATTCCATGCCTCTTGATATCTTCTTGTATGATTTTTTTTTTTTTGCCCTAAAATTTTATAAATATATCAATATTGGATATAAGGAAGAAACTTTGGATGAAATCGCTCACTAATATCTTCACTTTTTATTTTGCTTGAAACATATTATTAGTTTTTTTTTTTGGCCAACTACAATTCGTTTGACATAAAGGAAAAACTTTGGACAAAAGCTTCCCTCTTTCAAGTATGTGCTGGGAAATTTTCAGGTTTTGTGAAATTTGACTACTCTATTCTTATTATTTTGACCAATACTCTCATTCTCTTGTTCTATTGGCCCAATTTATGTGAAGAAAATAATAATGACATTTGCATTACTCACATCAATTGGTGCAAATCATAACCTTTAGAGATTTAGAAATTTAGTGCTAGAGTCAAGAACATGGGCTTGATTTGACAAGTTGCTTGTTTAAGTTTTTTTTCTTTTATGACTCAAACTTAAAATTGGGAAATTTTGTTGTAATTGAGCTTATAAGTCCAACTTGTTTAAACTTGGTAAAAATATGATCGGACTCTGAAGGCCCACTTATGCCTATTTTTTAATTTTATCCATGAAAAGATAAGATATTTTTTATTTTAAATTAAATTCAAACTTTAAAATATATGTTTATACTTTAAAATTAGAATTTACAATACTTATTTTAATTTAAAAATAAAAAAGTAGTAGGCTTATGAGTTTGGCGGCCTGATGAATAAGGGTCAAGTTTGAAGAAATGATTAATTTGAAGGTAAACAAGCTTTTGGGCTTGAGCTCATACGAGTCAAGCCTGTAAGAGTTGGGTTAATTAATTTACTGATTCTATTTATAACATGTGTTACACGGACAAGGTTATATGCATAGCCACTATCCAAAATAAATATCCCAAATAAACAATAATAATAATAAATAATAGTAAGGAGAAGAAGCTCCAAAGTGTCCCTACGACCATTAAGGAAACCTTCAAAGCATTAATAACCCAAATGTTACAATACATATCTGCTGACAAGTCAATCCACGCATCTACTTGTCTCATTGGCGCCGGGCAAATAATCCAATCTCTTTTCTTAATATATTACCGTATATAAAATAATTATATTATTGTATGAGTTAATAAGACTTTGCAGATATTGTAATTAAATTCTTATCATAAAATATAAAAATAAAAATAATTTTTAAACTCTTTTCTTTTCTTTATTCCAAAAATTTAAAAAAATTGAGAAAATAATTAAAATTAAATCACTTTTTACAATTTAAAACACTCACATCAAAATTTTAAAAATTATTTTATTTGCAAAATGATGAATTATTTTTAATTAATTTTTCTTCAAAAAATATTTTCACCAATAATTTTCAAACCTGAACTATATGAACTTTGATCTCCATTACAAGGTATGTAGGCCTCAGAGTCTAATTCTGAGTTAAGTCTTCCCTTGTAAATAAATTAATATTTCTCACTTAATTCTTATCATTTTTATATCAAACACATGAATATAAAAGGATAATTAAAATAATTTTAAAATTATATTTATATAGCACAACAAATTTCAGGTAACCGTTCTTATGAATGAGTTTTGTGGGGTGCCTAACACCTTTTTCACACTCAATCGACTCCCGAACCTATTTTCTATTTTCGCAGACTACCTTTATCCTCCTTCAAACAGTTTTTCAATATTTTTTTTTAAAATTTTGGTGGCAACTCTCATTTCTTCACTTTTCTTTTTGAAGGCCGGAACCTCCATTCTCACGCTGTTCGCGTCACATTTTTCAGGTGCGACAATAGTCAAATCTTGGTGTGGGCGGTCACAATTCCCCTCTCTATCAATCAATAAAATCACCTTCGTTGAATTGCAATAAGCTTGAATCTTTCTTTCAAAACCCATTTTTCCAAATTGCAATTAAAATCTCAAGATCAAGTAGACCTACCACCTACATGTAATGCGTGGGAATACTTGTATTTTTTATTACAAGCCATCGAAACACATCAAGTAGGGTCTAAGTTTCTTTTCAATTATTTTGGTATTGACCTAATCTAGATGCACACTACAAAATAGACAAGTCAAGACTATTACACCTGAAAAGAACCCAAACCCCATTAAGCACATACATGCATACATACATGGAACTCTTTGTGAGGAACAAGAAAAAAGAGGTTTAAACATTATCCTAGGTGCATTTTCATGAAAAAAAAAAAATCAAAGTGATACATAATTAAGAAGAAAAACCACTTTTAACAAATTTTCTTAAAAATTTTGAGGTGGTTTATGATGTTGACAGCCATGATGACGAGGAAAGTGGAAGGAGTTTGCTTCTAATGAAATTAAAAAAAAAAAACTGTTAGAATAAAAATAAATTTCTACAAATAATGATGGATCACTGTACAGATTTTTTGAAATGAGACAATGTGTCACCATCAAGGATTGCTCAATTTATGAAAAGGACAACAAAGTGAGATGCACAGAAAAAGAAAAGGATCGGCCCACCGAGCATCTTGTGAGTAAAGTGAGCAACTTGCTTTTGAAAATTTAAGAAATGTGAGTTCTCATTACAAGATTACAATCATAGAATCACCAACAGGACTTATCGGTAGATCATATTTTACATATTTACTCTAAAGCCCCTAATTTAAATTTAACAGTTAAAGAACAATTTTATTTTCAAAATATAAATTTAAGAGCATTGGGGATTCTAAATTTATTTTTAATTTAATATTTTTTTAACTTTTAAAAATGATGTTATATTACTCATACCATTAACAAATGTTAACTTTAACGGTTAGTTAATAAAAAAATATATAAAAAGATCCAAAATTACATACAAAGTCCAAAAATATTACATTTGTCAACTAAAGATTAAAGTTAATATTTATTAATAATAAGAATAATACTACACCATTTTTAAAAGTTAAATAAGAATGTTTAAGATTTTAGATGCTTTTGAATTTATAATTTATGAATAAATTTATCATTTAACCCTAAATTTAAATTTGAAATAAATATCTTGAGAAAAGTAAACGTGGCACCTTTACTGTCTTAGAATTGAAACTTTTCAATCACTTGGGAGTCATTTAATTGCTAAAAATAATAAGAATGAAATGTATTAAAGAAATAAAAATAAAAATAAACTAAATTATTTAGC